CCCCCTCCCCCACCTTTCATGCCAATTTGTTTTTACCTGCAGAACTGGACTGTGGTTTCTTCTTCAACAAGAGTTTCTTTTGTCTTTCAAGTTCTTCTTTTTGTTGGTTAATTCTATCCTGCTGTCTGTAAAACAAGAAAAAATCCAATGAACAGCAATTCAAGACTTTGGAACAATATTTAAACTAAACTGGAATTAATGACAATTATGATCAGAGTCGAGGGTGCTCTGGCAGTGCGCTCGCCTTTCACCGCTGAGGCCTTAGAAGGGTTTCCTTAGAATATCATGTTGGAGTGACTATATAAAGTCGGACTTTATCTTTTTTATTACTTTTTCTTTGTTTAAAAACTTGTCTTTAACTTTTTCTCTATTATATAGGTTTCAGGCTCTTTTTTAATTAAATCTCTTGGGTTGTCCTTTCAGCATTTTTCTACTTTTAATTTTAATATATTATCAATGAATATGTATTTTCGTAAGTTTAAATTTTTTTGCGTAAAAAAGTTTACATAAATGACCAGTACAAGATATTAATTAGTATAATGCTCAACACAGATTTAGAGTCATGGATAAAACACCTTCACAGGTGACAAATGTATCCTAATTAAATTACATGTAATTATTTTAAAAAATCAATGACTTGTAATAATAGATGTATTACATACTGATGTAGCTCTTGGAAGGCATATCCATCTTTCCAGGTGTCCACATAATGAGCTCCTTGTCTATGACATTAAAATATCAGGTGAGAATTAGTATAATGAATAATTTATTTCTAATCAATCTAATCAGTTTTTAAGAGTGAGAGTTTTATAATTTTTGATCACAACATGGGAATGGGAATTTTTTGACTTGAAAGTAAATGATGCCATTATAAAGAGCACAGTCTGCTCTCCAAAACAGTGTCTCAGATTTTCAATAACTTGATTGATTGATTAAAAAGTTGATTGATTTTTACCTCTTTAATGCATAAGTCATGATAAATAACTTTCAAATGAGACAAGATATCAAAAAACTAAGATAATATTTTTGAGATTAGATATTGGTTGTCATAAAATCTGTAAAGTTTCAGCAAAATAGATTGAAATGTGGCGTTCCAAGAACTTCATGAAAAAGAGCAGCCGAAAATAACAAAACTTTAACTAATAGATTGATCAAAAAATAATTCTCATGGTAGAAATCTAATATGTTTATTTAGCATCAAGAAAATATATAGAGTGCAAACAATTAATCTGTGAAACACTAATCACTAAATAGTACAAAATAGTGCTAATTAAACAATAGAAAAGAATTGAATTTGCATGAAATTGTGCTATTTAGTATTGCTAAAGTTTCACGGTTATATTTTTTGCACTCTACTTTTAAAGCCATTAGATGAATAGTTAGTGGTTATGACGTTTTTAGTGAACATCAGCTCCCCTGATACCATAAAACAAAATTGTGAAACTCGGTTCCAGTCCCCTGCTTGCTTTGTTGCCAGCAAATGGTTAACTTTACCTTACTGGTACAGACTGACCAAGACGAATTCTGTTCCTTCTGCACTTATCTCTTACTTCATTTTTCTCTTTAGTGGACTGGAAATGAAATGTACAATTTAGTAAAATGAGAAAGTCCCTCTCTCCATCCATCCATTCCTCCTTAATGCCTTCGTCCTAATTCCCTCCCTAAATCCATTCACATATCCATTCGACCTTCTGTCCATTTACTGTACATGTACAGTATTCTTCCCTCCTCTCTCACTCTTTATTTTCTTTTTTCTTGATTCTGAAATTTTTCTCCCATCAACTTAAGAACACAATTATATTGTTCAGGGCTTGTCCGGTAAGTCGTAGGTCAAAATGACTGGCCAAATTAGTTTTAGCTTAGTCATGCGTTTTTTCCAGCAAAACATTACTGTTCAAAATGACCAGCAAAGCAAAGATTTGACCCGACAAATCCCAGTTCTGGGCAGAATTTTTTTTAATGCCAAGCCATCATTTTAAGTTCTGTTTGCTGCTCATGTGCAAGAAAAAAATTACAATCAAAAATAAAATTGATATCCATTTGAAAACTAACTTCAGAAATCAAAAGATCTTTATTGACAGCCAAGCACTTTTTAAGAGTATTCTCCATCTTGGTGTTTAAGACCTATAAAAAATAAAAATAGACAGTTATATCGAGTGTTGGGCATTTGCCAGGGCTTGGAAAGTGCATTGTTTTTTTTTCTTCTTTCTTTCATTATTTATTTGTATATATATTCTTTCGTTTTTATCTATTTATTTACATTTTAGAGACTCATTTACTCAGAGTTAGCCTCATTTCAGTATCAAAACATATTCACAAAAAAAGTAAAGAATGCACATCAACTTCAATACAATATCTTAACATTATTCTACACAAAATGGACTTAGTCCACCTATAAGTATAATATTTTCCCATTTCAGACCATGTGTCATTCCTTGAGAAGAAGATTCTTTGTTTGAGTTGTAACCATATTCATGTGTCTTCTCGTGTGTTACCGTTAAGCAAAGAAATGATACTCTAGGGAATGACACATGGTCTGAAATGGGAAAACACTGGATTATGTCAAGTTGAGGCTAACAATTTAAATCTGGAGTATTACTGGACAACCATTGTTTTAATTATCATTATCAATAAATAACAATAATATAAATAAACAAGTCAGAAAAACTTACTTTCTGAATTTCTAACTGGTTTTTATAGTCTTCAACAACCTGAACAAGAAACAGTAGTTTGTAATTACTATTTTTATAAATTTTATGGGTGGCAAGTTGCATGCACTCTGCTATGCACTGTCTATCACTGCTGTATTGTTCATGTCCGGTTGCAAATTGGATTACTGGTTGAGCCATACATGTGTATATAAACATGTTCTAAAATCTATCTACATCTACAAAGCTTTTCTCTGTTGTAAAGCCCAAAGATCAAATTAGAATTTAGGAGTTCATTTTTGAGGAAGGAGGAAAACCGGAGAACCTGGAGAAAAACCCTTGAAGCACAGGAGAGAACCAACAAACAACTCTACTCACAYAMSACATCGAGATCGGCAGGACTCGAACTCAGGCCGCATTGGTGAGAGGCGCCTTCTCAGCGCACACCACCGGTGCTTCCCTTAACATGCAAGTCTACTTGTTGGGTGCTAATTAATAAGGGTTGTAAATAATAAATGTAGTGGTGGTAAGATAGGTGCTTACTAACATGTGTAGAATTGGGATGATATTTCTAATTTTGCTTACTGTTTTCAGGTCGTCAATCGTACTATCTTTTTTCTGTGAAGACTCTGCTCCTGTTGACATCTTCATCTCCATTTCCTAGCAGTGAAGCAAAAATATTTTGATAAACACCATACAATTCCAGTCATAAAGCCAGGGCTTAGGCTCATTCATAAGGGTTTTTGATGGGCTTTCATTAAATAATCATTACAAATCTTGTGTTCTGGTTGTTTGGGAGTGTGTGCTTTATGAGAGCACACAGCAAGCGTGAACACTTTTTCATTCATATCAAAAATAACGGTAATTGTAATTTATAAAAATATATACATTGTAATTTTTAAAAGAAATTGTAATAAAAGAAATAAAAATGGTGCTTGCTGTGTGGAATCTTAAAGCACTTGGGGATTGGCAGAACACTCGAGTAGAATCAAGAAGCACTCCGCTATTTGTCATGCTTCTCCTAATGCTTCTCTCGTGTGCTAGATAGATAGATAGATAGATATATCTTATTTACCAAAGCTGAGTCCTTCAGGATTACAATAAATYTAGAATAAAACTTACAATAAATTTACAATCCCAAATACGATTTACAGTTCCAATAATATTAGGGGGAAGGGGGTAATAGCTTATAACCAGGAGGAAAAAGAGTTTGGAATGATGTGGACATCGTTATTTATTTCTACATGTATAATGTTGCCAGTCAATCTCTTATATTTCAACAGTGAAAAAAAAAAAAACATTTTAGGGGAAGGATTATAACAAGAAGAGTGGCTTATAACTGGAAAGATATATTCAATCTGTGTTAACAGGCTTATCTGGGAGGGCAGGCTTTATAACAAGTTGGCTTATAACCAGGATTTATGGCAGGTCTCATAACTGAAAATAGATGTCTGATCTCAATTCCCTATTATGGTAGCATCTTGTTCTTTGTTGTTTTTTTATAGAATGTTTGACATCAAACGTCTGATGTTTAGTATGTTTATATTACTTACCTTGAGAGAAGATAAAGTCAAGATTGTCTGCAAATAAGAATTATAGAATTTTATTAGCCATTAGCATTGTCATTATTATCATGACCATATCATCCTCACCATCATACAGTAGTTATCAACATCATCATCATCATTACCATAATCGTCACCATCATCATCATCACCATCATCATCATCACCATCAC